GGCTGCATCCTGTCCCTCGTTCTCTCAAACAGTTCAACAGGTGAAGAGCTGAAGTCTCCAAATGAGGAGGGGATCTCCTTTCTGCCACCAGCGTAACATCCAGGCAGTGGAGCACCCAGAGTATCTGACTTACACTTCTTTTACTTAACCAAATCTATTGTGATGCTTGTTCATTATAACCTCCGCCTTTGATTTATTGCTCAGTTCATTTTGAATACATATTGAAGGTTTCCAGCAGTTGTCATAAGTGGTTCAATGCCCATCAGACCTATACAAGGTACCATCCAGCATTGCAGTGTCAGTCAAAGGTATTTTTGTTGCAAATTTGAGACTTTATTAATTCATGCACAGCACAAGAAGCCATGGATATCTATCTTCAGTGGAGATATAATTAAAAGATGCATTATTACGGTTAGAAAATATTCCTGGAAAACTTTACTCTTTTGGCATGTGGTGTTTGGTTATAAGTAATATTCTGAACAGTGTTCTAGGCTTACCAAAGATTAATATCAAAACAGTTCACCAGTGGAAAGATGCCTCAGCTGAGCATCTGTTATCTTTGCAATTTAACAAAGCATTGAACACTTTTTTCATTAATGCTTTAAACTTAATCATAAGTTTGAATATAAATAATATTAGCAATTATTATTTCTATTCACTGAAGTCAGTAAAAACCTGATAAAATTCTCACTAAAGGAAAGAACATATGATTAAGTCATAGTGAACCTGCTTATTAGATGGACAGGAGGCATTGTAAAGTCTTCACTCATCAAAAAACATTTTCTTTTTGTAGATTTTCCAAAGGAAAGGTTTTTGTTCTTACATATTTATAAACAAATCTCTCTGAATATACAAGAACAGCTCTTTGACTGGACACATTTATTCTTCAGTGAGGTACTATTTTATTTATTCTGGAAAAAAAAGGAGTTTTTTTTCTATATGTATGGATTAACATGAACAGCAATAGCTGCCTACTGAAACACTGATAGTCTAAATGAAGAAGCATTAATTTGTTTTCTTAATTAAGGACTTTTGAAATGCTTGGAGTAGCACATGATAAAGGAAAGTCCTGACTACCTATGATCATGTGGTACCTTTTGCAGGAATTCATCCACCAGCTCCAGCATCATGGCCCTATGATTTGCGTAACTTTCTGCCTATTCAGTAGCATATTTCCATTACAATTGTAGGAGAGAGATTCTTAGTATTTTTCCTGCTGTTAAACAGCTGCTGCCTTTCAGTGTTGGCAAAATAGTTCTACATATAATTTTCCTTTTTTGCAAATGAAAGTACTTTGGGATCTCTCTGTCTGAAAGATGGACTAGAAATGCAAATTATCCTTAGCCATATAACTCAGAATTACCTTTGTATTTTATTCTAAATTTGTATCTGGATATACAAAAATCCTGAAAACCGGTGACATTAGCGCCTCTCATATAACTGACATGCTTTTGGGGAAAATAAACAGAGAGAACTGCCAGCAGCAAGCTTCTGCATGAGTGTTGTAATAGAATGAGTGCTAATGCTGAAAATATCTCCTTTAATGAAATTTTTAATACAAAAATGTAATTTCATTTATGTGTTTAGAAAAAAAAGCCACAGAAAATTAATATCCAAGAGCTTGAATAAATTTATGTCATAATTCCTTACATTTCTTCCCCTTCCCCCCCCAGTTTTATTAACATAGACATTTGGGTTTGCACCAATACTTGCTCTCTGAATCTGTTTATGTAAGTTTCCTCCAAGTAATGACTGTAACAAAACATACCCTGGCAGAACCTTGCAAAATATAAGCCTGTTCAAGTTAATCAGTAAAGATAACATTTCTTCAAAAATGCAGAAAAAGAAACTCTAACTGCATGTAAATTAAATTTAGAACACTCCTTTGCATAGAGTGAAAGTCTGGCAGGCCAGGAGAAATCCATAAATGTCATTGCAGTGACAGAAAGTAAAACAAGAAAGAGGTCTCTGATGTCCAGGCAGCACATGCATGCCCTGTGCAGGAAAAGTCTCTTCACAGATTTGTCGATGGCTTTGCTCCCCCATGCCCATGACATGGCTGCCTCCATTTCCAAGTTTTCCAAAAGCTTCCAGACAAGATTTGAACAAAACCAAAACACTGATTAAAAAGCAAGCATAAATTGCTTATCCAACTTTTGTGCAGTTATTTAGCTACAAGCAGCAACAGGGGCTCCAGTGGTTAGAGATTCCCCATCTTGCTGCTGCTACACCAGTGTCAGGGAGGATTTTGGTAAATGCTCTCCCATTTACACACTGCTCAGTGCCATGGCAAAGCCGTGGGTAAGACTTGCAGGTTACTTGCAGGTATTGCTACCAGAACTTCAATATGGGTTAGGAGAAATGGCTTGCCTAGGCCTCCACCTTTCCTGTGACAGTAACCAAATCATGGCTTCCAGCGGAGACTGGAGTACTCCATGGGAGGTCGATGTTGCAGTGGAAGGCTATTTTGACAAAGATTTAAAGGAAATGCCCTTAACTACAGTACAGATGAGGACCATTGCAGCTTTGACTTGTGTCTCTCATTGGAAAGCAAGCAAGTAGCAGGCACTCTGAGGAGGGACTGCAGGACAGGTGCCATCAAACCAAGCCCCTTCAGGGCCTGTCCATCTGAAAATGGAGAGAGGATGCAGATGGGTGAAAGATATATGTGCAAATCTGAATATAAATGCTAGTTTAAATAGTTCTCAAGGCATCCTCAGTACCACTGTTGCTCAAGGTTTTTGTTTCATGGCTAAAGATAGCTCTGCTGGTAACATGAGACAAAATAACGGTGGAATTGTTTTACTTCAACAGAGGCTGGGTACTAAGGAACCAGCTTTATTTCCTCCCACCACCAGCTCCTTCTAAAAGATCCTTTACTGTGAGCATTACCTTGTATTTCTTAACATGAGCCTTAGTGGGACCTCAGTACCTCTATGGCAGTTCTGTAAATGCAGGACTGCCTCTGCAGTATGGTCATTGGCCTGTATCAGATGTGCTGCTAATGTAAGTCAAGCAAGCCTACGTTTATGCATTTTAAAATACCAAGCTTCTGTTTCCATGACAGAAGTTGAGAGACAAAGGGCTGAAGTCTCACAGCTTCAGAGTAAAAAAGATTTTTAGCATGGCAAAAGATTTGCTCAGTTTTCTGCCAGTCCAGTCCCAAGTGATGCAAGACCTCTTTTCCACCCCACTCTCCTTTGCACCAGAATTGCTGTAGCTCCCTCAAGAGACAAGAGTATTTCTGCTGAATTTCTAACTCTTAAGATAATTTGTGCTGCTTGTGGTATGCAAACGAGCTTTATGGGACTGGGATATCTTCACAGCGTTCAAAGCAGCGCAAGAACCCCAAGGTATGCTGCACCATTTGGTATCTGAAAGAAAATTTAAATTCTGTTCCTAATTCAAGGGGGGAAAAAAAAGGAAAAAAAACCCCATAATTTGTAATGAGTGTCTGCTTTTGATTGTGAACATTAGCAGGCAGAGATTAGCACCTTTCCACTCTGCTTCTATAAAAGCTCTTTTAAGCAGTCATAAAGTGCAGAAGGGCTGCGGGTAGATCTCTGCCAGAGATCATGCAGTTTAGTGACGGTCTTGGCTGATGAGACTCTTCAAGACCTGATCCAGGGCACTGAAGGAACATGGAAAAGGATGCAGAAGCAGCAGGCAGTTACCTAATACTATCAAGTCTCAATAAAAAAAAGACAAGCTGAGACATTTTGGCAGGCTTTCTGAATACCTAATAGGACAATGCTTGTGTAAACGGGCCTGGAACTGCGGTTAAGAGAAATAAATTCACAGTAGAAAAAAAACCCCTAAGCCCACACTTTAGAAGCAGCAAATTATTTCAGTTCAAAGCTCTTCAGATCACATCTGACCATAGGGTGACAGAATTAGCCTCACTGATTGTTTCTGCAAGATATGATTCACGTCCAGGATTTTACACATAGCAATTCAGCAAAATCGCTCCCACCCGAGCCAGAATACACAAATATTTAACTTTTTGGCAGAGCGACCGTCAGAGTATTTGTACCTATGGATTTGCTGTGACAGATAAACAAACCCGTACTCCTTCCTCACAGCTACGGAAGCGAAAGGGAGTAAAACCCCGGGACGGTCGGGAGGGTCTGGTTTTTCCACGGGGCCAAATTCTCACAGCGGTTTCCTTAAACCACCAGACCGCGCTGATCGCAAAGGCAAGTGCGGGGGCATTCCCACGCACCGGGCAGACGTGTCTGTGCACAGGGGATGAAGGCGGCGGTGGGAGAGGCGGTTCGGTGCCCTCCTCCTCCTCCCGGCGGGACCCGCCGCTTCGGCCACCTCCACCACAGGCGAGACCCGTCCTTCTGCTTGCGCCCAGCTCTCCATCCCCCCTTGTCTTTTTTCATTTCCAAATAACTTCTCCCGTCCCCTCTCCCGCCCGTCCGAAGGGGCGGAAGCGGCAGACGGGCGCGGGGGGGACGCGGGGCGGGGGCAGCGCGGAGAGCTCGGCGCGAAGCAGGGGCCGCCCGGCAAACCCAGCCGGGAAAGAGGCTCCACGCCCCCGCCGCTTCTCTCCCCTTCCCGGCACGGAGGCGGTGGCGAAGGGCTGCGGTGGCGAAGGGCTGCCGTGGCGCACACACCGCCCCAGCGGCCGCGGAGCCGGGGCAGTTTCTGTAGGAGCGGAGCGGCTCGGCTGGGCTCGGCTCTTCCCCGGCTGCGCTGCGCTGCGGGGCCTCCCCCGCGGGCGCCCGCCCGCCTCAGCAGCTCCCCCTGCCCGCCGCGCCGGTCGCACACCCCGGTGCGGGGCGGCGGGAGGAGCCGCGTCCCGCCCCGCCCCGCCGTGCCGCTGCCGGGCGGCGCTGCAGAGGGCGGAGCGGGCGGCGGGGCGGGGCGGCCGGCGCCCGGCGCGGGCAGGCTCCCGGCGGGCGGCGCTGCTGCGTTGCTCTGGGAGGCGCCGCGGGGCCGGGCGCGGAGCTGCGGGCTCGGGGGTGTGAGCGGCCGGGCAGGGCGCCCCCAGGATGCTGCGGTTCCTGCGCAGGACCTTTGGCCGTCGGTCGATGCAGCGATACGGGCGAGGAGCCGGGCGCGGAGCCGGGCGAGGTGGGCTCGGCGGCGAGGGGGACGAGCGGGACGGGGGGCTGCGAGGAGCGGCCGCCGCCGCCGTCGGCTCGGGAGGCTTCCCCTCCTCGCCGCTCCCCGGAGGGGTCGTGCACAGCGCCGGAGCGCCCGTCCACATCCCGGCGGCCGGCGGCAGCAAGCCGGTGCTGCAGTGCCGCGTCCTTCTCCTGGACGGGACCGAAGTCAACGTGGAGCTGCCGGTGAGTAGCGTGCGCTTACCTCCGCCGCCTGCAAAACGGCGCCTGCAGCTACCCTCTCCCCTCCTCCGCATCGTCCCCCCCTCCCTGGCGACAGGCACCTGCGAGTGCCCCCCCCCGGCCGCACAACAGGCGCCGTTCGCCGGGAAAGCCTCGCTAGTTTCGTCCTTCCTTCCGCGGGCGCCCTCGCCGCCGTCCCCGCCTGCGTGCACCTGCTGCCAGGTGCGCGGCGCGCCTCCCCGCCATGACCGCCGCCCGCCCCCGTCCTGCCGGCGGGAGCCGTCTGCGCCCTTCTTCCCTCTCCCCGGAGCCAGCGGGGAGGGGACACCCGCTGTCCTCCCCTCCTGCGCAGCCGAAAACAGCCCCTCGCAGCGCTGCCATCCGCGGCGCCTCTCTCGCCGGGAGGGGCCGTCCCCGCCGTGCGGGCGCTACCTGTGCCTTTCCCCGGCTGCTGCGGGGGGGCCGCCCGCTGAGCCCGCCCGACGGCACCGCCGGCTATGGGGCGCATCCCGGTGTGCCAGGCGGGGGAGAATGGTGCCTTTGGCCTCGCTGCCCTGCGGCTCGCAGCCCTCAGCCCCGCAGCACCTGTGGCGCCGCGGGGAGAGCGAGGCGCGGCCGCGCTGCCCCCGCCGTGGCGGGGTCTCCGGGGAGTCGCCGCCTCCTTCTTCTCCTTAGCTCTTGTTGCCCACCGCCCCCGCTGCCGGGGCGGGCTGACGGGCCCTCCGGGATGGCCGAGGCGCTGTCCCCGTCCCGTGGCGGCCGGGTGCGGGGCCGGGGTCAGGGGTGAGCCTGAGCGGCTCCGCGGGTGCGGGGAAGGTGCCGGCACTGAACTTTCTGCCCTGCCGCCGCTGTGCAGGAGGAATGAGGAAGGGATGGTGCTGGCCTGCGGGGCTGTGCGTGTGTTGTTTGTGACTGCTCGCTGAGGTTGGGCCGCGTTTGTAGGTGTTTTGGCATCCCCAAAAACCCATTGTGTGTCATTTTATCAATCCTAAAGGCAGCTGCACGGTGTGTATTGGTAGTTTGCAGTTTTGGTTCTTTTCATTCCTCACAGTTTCTAAATACTCACCACGCATCCTTCTTTGCTGACCTTTTCCCTCCCTCTTGAGGGAGGGAAACCCAGGTTTCCCATGAAATAGTACGGAAGTTTATCATGTTTGAAAAACATTTAATCTTCTTTCCATTTCAACCCAAATAATGACCAGCCATTAAGCTTGGTCTCCAAAAACAGGTGGGAGAACTTAGTGAATGTAACAACCTGACAAATTGTGCACTGCTTTACTCTCCAGCCGTATAAAAGCAAGTTTTTTTTCATAGTACCTTTAGAAGACGCATGTTAGGTGCCTTTCATATTAGCTGTCATCTGTATATGTTGGCATCATTTCACGAAAACATGGATTTTGGCAACCCTATTGTTTCTGCTTAAAAGAAACAGAGGAGATTGAGTAAGACTCTTACAAGTGAATAGAGAAGTATGTGAACGGAGCCACCTAGAGATACTTGCCTGCAGCATTATCAGGCCTCCCTTGCCTACAGACTACATCGCACATTTCCAGATATTTGAAATGCTAATATATTTCCTCTCCTCACATCTCCTTCACAACTTGCTGCACTCCTCCTAGCATCTCAGCACATATATTTTATAAAGTAGACTTGATCATTATCAGTGTGCTAAGGGTTTACTTATAGAGGTCTATGTCAATAAGCTTAGTAAATATTTTGTTTAAGGTAATACTCTGATTTATCAAAGGTCAGATTTTGCTGTAGAGCCCGTTTAAGACAGTCTGAGGATTTGTAGGATCAGAAAGTGAGGTAATGACACTCTTAGTCCTTGAGTGCTGAAAACACATGGACCTATCTGTGTTGCTCAGTAAAGAAGCTGTGAAGCATTCTTGCTTGAACTAACCTCCAAATGAAGCTAAGACTTGCCAGTGCTGTCAGAATATGAGCTGCACGTGTGGTGGTTTTAGCTCAGTTGTCCAAAGACAGAGTAAGAAGTTGGCTTTTTTTTTTCATGCAAATCCCTAGACTGATGGAGGACTTTGGAGCATTTAATAGCTGTCAGTGTTTTGAGGATTAGAAACTGTTCTGTTGAATTACATATCTGTTCCTCATGTTTTTTTTTTCCCCTTTCTTTCACAGAAAGTAACACCCACACTGAGAGTTAGAAAAACTGAAAGAGGCATTGCACCATTTATAGATGTTGATCAGTAAAGTTTCCCTGAGATTTGCAGGTCTAGATTTTATGGGAATAGGGCGTGAAACAGAATGTGCTTTAATATTCAGAAGCTGAGGTATGGGACCGGTTAAGTTGAATGAATTGAGTAGCATCTCTTTTAAAAAATGTGTATGGTGCTTTCTTTCATTTCAGATCAAATTTTATCTAAAGGGAGGGAGTGTGGGCTTCATCACCAATGAGCAGCTTACTCATGAAGTCAAGTACAGAGATGATTGCAGAGGATTTCACTGTGCTGCTGATTGTGTTTGCAAGCACTTATTTCAGGAGATACTGGCATCTACAAAATGTGCTCTTCATGCTGACATTCTACCCCTCTTGCCTTTCTAGTTGAAAAAGGTTCTTGATATTAGAACACAATACTCTTGCAACTACAACTTTTTAGGCTATCTCTGAGTCTTCATTTGGAAGTAATTGAGAGGTTTATTTGATTTCAAAGACTATGGAGTTTATTTGTTTGTGTGGAGGAATGCCAGAAAAGACATAACTGGAGGAAAACTAGCTATCTACACAGAAAAAAGGTTCAGGGTTTATTTTGTGGTGTTTTTTTTTAAATATACCAATAAAACTGAAAGAAACCCTGAAACTTTTGGCCAAGTTCTGCCACAGTGTTTTCTTACAGGTGGGGCTGTTGGAAAAAGAAATCCTACATCAGTAAATCGATAACTGTCTTTGTGGTTAATGTTGTAGTTTGTGTGATAGTGTCTGTATGAGAAAGTACGTGTCTTGTAATCTCTCGTCAGTTTATGGTGGTAACAGAAGCAGAGATCTACTCTGATCTCCAAGTTCTTCCTTAGCTCATTCTTCTGTAAGCTGCACAGCAGTAGTGAACTAGAGTAATCTCTCTTCTTTATCTGTGCTTCCACACCCGCTTTCTACAGGGACATTTACACTTTATTCTTTTTACTGCAGTTGCTTTGCCCTTGGACTACCCCATTTGCTAGCCTGCCCTTCTATGTGCTGTGTACTCTTTCATTTGTAGGTGTTCTCTGGCTTTCACAAACTTGTTTTGTACCCAGCTGCCCCCACACAAATGTCAACATAAGATTATTCTGAGCACTGCAGATACCCCTGGATAATGGTTTCTATACTCAGCTTCTTGCATGAAATTTCAAGGATTGCTTAATGATGCTGGCTTTTTTCTTCACTCTTAAGGCAAGAATCATGTACTTTAAAAGTATTCTTTCTAAACAGAATAATGCAGTGGATGGCTTCTTAAACCCACAAGCTCCTCAGGGCTCTGTATTGAATGTGAAATGCTATTAAGGTTGGATCTGTTATACAGGAGTGAGTGGCAGTTGACCAGTTCTATTGCTGTGGGGTTATTTCCCATGGGAAGGGGAACATAAATGGTGTCATTACTTCTTCTTGACCTGACACCACGTGCCTGCACATCTGAAATCCAGTGATGAGAACTGACGCAAGGAGAAAAACACTTCCATTAGAAGCCATCCCCGCTCCCTCACACATAGCTGCCTGTGTATTTCTTTGTACCACTGGGAACCTGTTCAGTATCTTTTGTGTTGTACTCTGACTTACACGGGAGGCTATGAGCTAGTCAGAGTTTGCAACTTGGTTGTAGGTAGATGGAAGGCCACTTGCTCACTGTTGCCAAAACAATCTTGCCTCTGTTTTTCTGGAGGACTCGTGACTTTAATGAAAGAAAAACTGTTTGTAGGTGATGCTGTGTTCTTACAGAAAGAATGCAAGGAGAGAGCATTGACATTTAGGCTGCAGTGATGTCTGCTAGTTGATGCATAGATGGCTCTCAGATAAAGCCAAAAAGCCAAATTTTTCTTAACTTTAAGGCATGATGGTTGACATTTCTAAAAACTTAGTCTTTGATTTTTAATTAGGTGCATCTTACAAAAGCTTAAAGGGCAGATATGAAAGATGGCTATTCAGTGGGACTGTCCAGAGTAGCAGGAATTAATGTTGCTTAATGCTGTATAAAATGGTATTTTCTGATAAATTGTGGGAGGGCAGGAGGAAAATGAACATTTGTAGAGTGTTCTTGGCTTTCTGTTGTCTTAAGTGGGATAAAAAAAGAAGCAAATGGTAAGCTCCCTCCACTACGAAAATCCTCATCATGCAAAGCAGATCTAAGATACCTTACATTTTCTGTGATGTGAATCCACAGCAGTCAACATTTTGTCTGTTATAAATACTTCTTCCTAAAAATCTTCTTGCTCTGATAAATTCCTCTGCTGCTGTGAACAACCATTACAGAGACTTGTGTGATCTATTAGAAAGTGTGCAATGTTTAAGGATTAAATTAATCAACAACTCAAATATAACTCTTCAAATCTGTAAATTATTTTCAGATGAATGGCTTTTATATTATTTCTTTGCCTTCCTTTTGGTGTATCTGTTTTAATAATTGTTTTGGCTGCCATGGAAACACTTCAGGATAGGGATGGGAATAGTAAATGTTCTTCAACTAATCTCTGATCTGCTATGCATTGTAGTCTTTTCTTATTGGGGTAACATGAACATAGCAAAAATTGCTGTCTGGCCTCTATGCTTACATCAAATATAAATGTTAAATTAACTCTTGAGCAGTCATCTCAGTTTTACTGATTAGTGTATTTGACTTGATAAAGTTAAAAAGCTCAGGAAAGAAGTCCAACTCATTTTTTCTTTCTTTTATATCACACATGAGTTCCAAACAATGTTTCATAAGTATTAACTCTAGAGAAATGCACTAATATGCATGTAGACACTTGGATTCAGGTCATGCTCTGGAGTTTCCTAACTAAGGAGTAACATA